CGCCAGCGCGCGGGGTGTTTCGGTGTTTCCCACTTCGCGGGAAAACTCCAGCGTTGAGGGATTCCGGAAAACTGGATTCCGGAATCTTTGGACTGCAACTCTAGGTATAAGGCAACGGAGGCCGTTCGCCGGAACGCGTGCAAAATTTCGCACGGATGTGTATATTTGTCGCAGTGCATCGCGTTTCGGGATGGCGAACGCTTTGGACGCCGCGATCCGATCCGAGTCGGATTCGGGCACGATTTGATTTGGGGCCGTCCGTCGGTAACCCTTTGGTACCTGGAGCGCGCGGACAGCGGCGCGGGGCAGGGGCAGGGGCGGCCAGCGCCCATTCCTCGCTCTGTCTCTCTCGCACCCGTGGGGCGTTCTGTAGGGGTGCGAGAGAGACAGAGCGACGAAGGACGACGGACGGTTCGGAGTCAGCCTACAGGGGCGTCCCGGCGGGAGGGGAGAGGTCACCGAAACACGATTCCCTTGAGCCACTTGCGCGCGGACCCCTCCCTCCCCCTCCGGACCAAGTCACGAAATGGACAACTTTGCGAGTCACTTTTCAGTCGCTTCCGCTCAACAGGGACCACCCACATTTTCACCATGCCCTTTTGTACCCCGAAATCTTCAAAAGAGTCTTTTTTGTGAATTTTGTTTGGGGCTTGTGAAGTTGCGGCGGCGAAGCCGGGCGGGCGCTGCACTGCGCTGCACTGTGCTGCCGCACTCCGCGCCTCTCCGCCCTTCCCTTCTCCAGGTTTGCATCCTGGAATGGACTGGAATGGCATTATCCTTCCCCTCTCACCGCCAGCTCGGCCAGCTCGGCCGCCAGCAGGCCGTTTCCGAAAGTGCTCTCGTCGCTTCGTCTCTCTCGCGCCCTCGGGGCGTCCCGAAGCCGTGCGACGGAGACAGAGACAGCGCGTCCTAAGCGCGTCCGCGGCGTCCGCCTGCCCGTCTGCCCCGTCGTGAGAATCGCCCAAACAAAGGATCGCGTTGGACTTGCGCCGGCCGGAGCGGAGCACCGCGGAGCACCGCGGGGCGAGCGGCCATCGTCCAGGCCTTGTTACGAAAACGAGGAAGGGGGAAAACTAAAATGCACGCGGGGTCAGCGCGCCCCAGCCGCAGGTTGACCGTCTCTCTCGCTCTCGTGGCGGGGCGGCGGGGCGCGAGAGAGACAGAGCGAGGCGCTCCGAGGCGCTCGGCGCGACGAATCCACGCGCATGCGCGGAAAGGCGACTGGCACGTTTTTGGATTCCCGCCCACAGAAGGGAAGCGATGGCCGCTTTAGGTGCAGCTTTCGACAGAGAAATCATAAAAGGACTAATGGGCCGATTTTCCTTTTTCCGGCCTTCCTTTCCGAGAACGTCCGATTCTTCCGGCGAAGTTTTCGGGGTGGCAATGGCATTCATATCCTGCCCTCTCGGCGTCCTCGGAGTCCTCGGAGTCCTCCGAGGCTGCTCCTTGGCCTGCTGCCTTTGTTCTCGGCCCAGGCAGGGCTGGCAGGGCTGGCAGGGCCACAGGCAGGCCGGCCATGGCGCCGCTGTGAGGCTGACCAGCCACGCTACCCTAAAAAAAGAAAATATCAAAGATTTTAGTAAAAACCGAGTCAAACTTCAATTTTTTTTTTGCGAGAAAGTAGCGTAACTGCTCTGTTCAAATATTAAAATTATTTGCGAGCTTAAACTGGCATAAATTCAAGGCAACAAGTTGAGCAAAGTACTTTCTTCAACGCAAGAGCAGAGCATTTTTATTTGTACGTAGGTTTTTGCTCTTTTACCGCTTTTGCCGTATTTTTTCCTCTTGCTCGCGTTTCCGGCCAAACACCTCTTTGCGATGCTCTTCCTGCAAACAATTGGAGCCAGACTGAAACCGCGATGCATGCACGCCTTCCCGCCCCTTCGCCGCTCTTGCCGCCTCGGCGTGGCGTGGCGTGGCGTGGCGGGTATTGGTGTACAATCCATGGTTCTGCGTGCCTGGCCATGCCTGGCCGACCAGCACGGAGCGCGGAGCGCTGGGGGAGCGGGGAGGGGGAAAATAAGAATGTAACAGTCGAGACACTTACCTTGCTCAGCCAGAGACTATGTTATTATCCCTCGAAAAAGAGGGAAAAACATGAGCGAGGGAGGGACGGGCGGCCGAGGGAGGGACGGGCGGCCGGGACCGCCGCAGCCCGCAGCCTCAGCCGAGGAATTTATCCTTGAAATCTCTTCCTAACACAATAAGGCTGGACGGAGTCGGCGCGGCGAGCCGGCGAGTAGCGAGGGTGAGCCGAGTACCCCTGGAGTCTGAAGCCTGGAGCTGGGCCAGGCCAGACGTTCGTGGAAAGTTGCTTTGTGAAATTTCGCGTGTTGGGCAAAAGAGCAAAACCGGTAGACCTGTTCAAGGAGGTAATCTTTCGCCTCTTTTGAGGGCTTGATAAAAATTTTGAAAACTGAGGAATCCAAGATGCGGTAGTGCCCCATGCGGTGCTTTCGGGTTTACAGCCAACGCTTCGTAAAGCTCTGTTTATCGCGGGCAGAAATCAAGCAGAGTTACTCCGGACGAAGTCGAAATTACAGAGCTGTGCGCGAGTGGCTTTTCCATGGGAACGCCGCGGAAGGAAGGCGCGGAAGGCAGTAATGGCTGCGGGCTGGTTCGCTCTGTCTCTCTCGCACTCGAGGCGTCTTCCGTGCGGGTGCGAGACAGACAGAGCGACGGAGAACTGCGCGTCCATGCGCGCCGCGCCGTGCCATGGCCGTGCCATGGCCGTGCCGCGGAAGGCCGAGGAGAGTGCTTTCTTCCTTCTTCGGACTTGCACTAATTAATTTGTTAATTAGTGTCAGCCCCGAGCGCCCAACGCTCAAGTGTGCCCTCGGGGCGACAGGAACGCAACATGTAACATTTATCGTTTCCGTTTTTCCGAGCGATTTTCTTTGATTGATAAGTCTCGGCCAAGAGGGCGGCCGTCGGTGGTGAAACGAAACGAAGGCTCTCTCTCCTCCGTGGAATACCTCACCGAGGTGGAGGTAGGTGCTGTGCTGCTTGCGGCGCAGCGTTGCTGCTCAAGCTCAAGCAGAGCGTCCTCGTGAGGTCCTCTCCTCGGTCCTCCTCCATCCCGCGCCACGCCGCGCCACGCCGCGCCACACCGGGCCACGCCGCGCAGGTACATTGCTCGGCCACTGCCCGCCTCCACGCTCCCTCCCCTCCGCCTCCGCCTTCCCCTCCCCCTCTGCGTTCCCCCTTCCTTGTCTTGTCCGGCGGACGCGTTCGAATCGACCCGCGCCGAAACGGGTTGCGGCCGTCCTCACAAAGAATGCCCCTCGCTCGAGTCTTCGGTCTCCGGGTACTACGTCCGCCCGTGGTCCGCCGTGGCCCGCCGTGGTTCGCCGCCCCGGACGCGGCCCAGGTACCCTCCCGGGCCTCCCTGGCGTCCCTGCCCTGCCTTGTGGGTCCTGCCCCCCTCCACGCCGTGGGGCAGGGCCCGCCGCTAAGCCACATCAGTCTGGAACCGGGGCTCTTCTCTCTGGAGACCATTTTCAAAACTAACCGATTTCAAACTGAATTTATGATTAAATTTTTTTGACTTTTCAAATTTTTATTTTGTACTTTATATTTTAAAGTTGAGTTGTATAAATGTCAAAAACACTTTTTAAAATGAAATCAGACACCTGAAGAATCGTTATATTTTTCTGGTGGCAAGTTCTACTTTTAGGACACAATTTTTGGGGGGGTTTCCAGCCACGCTAACTTACGGAAGGTGGCCGAGAAACGAGCACGGATGGCCCGGCGACTGTCTGCAGCTCGATTCCGAACAGTGTCCTCGCGGCTTTGTCTCTCTCGCTCTCGTGGGGCGCTGCGTAGGGGTGCGAGAGAGACAGGGCGACGAGGGCACTGTTCGGAGTGGAGCTGCCGGCATGGTCTGGCGACATTGCCGCGCGGCCCCCACCCTCCCTGTCGGCCTCCTCGGCCTGCTCGGCGTCGCTTCACCTGTGCTGGACAGGACAGGGCGCGTCGAGGATGGCCACGCCAGGCCAGGCCAAGCACGACGAGCCGCGCAGCGTCCCTCAGCGCAGCGTCCCTCTGCGCGCTCTGCGTCTCCCGCGCAGCGGGCCAACAACAAAAACGCCAACAACAAGGCCTAGCGTTATTATGTAGGCATGCCCGCGGCCCTGAGGCGGAGGGTGGTGGACGATGATGGCCTGAGTGGTGCTTTGAATCCGAGATCAGAGCCAGAAAGGACCGAAAGGACTGACTGTACAGGTGCGCCGTGCAATGGGCTGAGTCAGAACCCCGCCGTCAGTGTCTGAAGAAAGTAGCGGGAGGAGGGAGGAGCTTTCAGAAAGCAGCCTTTATTGTAAGGCAACGGCAGTGCGTATAGGTGTCTCAGGTTGACGAACAGGGCGGAAATTGCCGTACAACCGAAGAATCCATATGAATTTTGATTCCCGTTTTCTTGGTGTGGAAATCATGTTTTCACGCCGATTCGAAAAAATAGGCTCGGTCTCCCGCCAACTGCATTCCGTCGGGATGGTCCGCCCGGAGCGTAGGCAGCCCATCGTACGCCAGCACGTTGGGCTGCCTACCCATCGGGCGCTTCCACCGACACACCACTGGTATGAAAAATTCACAAATCAGAACATTTACAGTAGAGTCCTATGGACTATGGGGCTCTAATTTACAGAGAGAAAAGGGGTAGAAAGAGGACACTATTGCAAAAAACAAAGTCCACATTCAAAACACCTATTGTTTAGAAAAACGGTGCAACAAAATTTCTGTGAGGAAAGTAGTGAACAAATAAATTGAAGGCTCTAAGGACAAAGATGTTTGATTCTTTATTTCAGAAAAAAAAAGCAATTTTTCACTTCTCAACTTGTGAGATTATCAGTCATGTGAGGCAAATATTAAATCATACCAACCACAAGTCATTGAGAAAATAATCTTGAGTAAATGTCATGATAAAGGCAGAGTATATGAGGTGACATCAGATGTAAAAATAAATGAGGGAGATATGGAATGTTTGAGAAGACACAAACATATTGATTTAACAAATCTGTACTTTGAACAGACAAAATCAGGTTAAATAAATAATAACTAATAATATAACAACAAGGGTAACAAATATTCCGCCAAGTAATACAAATTTATCTTCACGGGCCCGCTTCTCTATCAGACGCATTGTGGTGTTAGACAATCCTAAAGTATTGGCTATGTCTATTATGCGCCTTTGAGCGTTCTTCAATGTGGTTCTTTGGTCACGGAGGCTCTCCAAGATCCCAGCACCAGACCGCAGCATATCATCCATCCCCCGATTTGCATTCTGCAGTAGGAAAAGATAAGCAGGTACTGTTAAAAACATTTTAGGTGCAATAGCACTAACAAAAGCACGAAAAGTACTTACGTTTAAGGCAGTTTGGTGCTGAATAGAATGGTCTATGAAGATGACTGTGTCTGCATCTGCTGAATTATGAGTGAACCTTCGGCTTAAAAGTTCCTCTCTTTCAGACTCTTCTCTTCTAAGCTGAGATTGACGATGTTGGTACATACGAAGAGCAGCCTAGAAAACAAAAAAAGAAAACATTAAGAAATAACAAGGTTTAATCTATCAGCAACTGTTACAGCCAACAAATGTGTCCAGTTACCATATTATAAACAGACATTACATCACTAGCAGTTTACATACCTGTAAGTGGTGGTTATCATACTTAAGTTGGTCAACTCTTGTCTTGGCACTCTGCCTTCTCGACACTGGCTCTTTGAATGCAAGAGCATCGAGTCGTTCACAATTACTGCAACAAAGTTCAGATTGACTTAAAGGTAAAAGCATGGACGGAGGCTATTACGGAAAGAACTTATCCATGTGGAAACAATAATATAACGTGGAAAAGTTTTAAAATAACAAAGTCTCCTGTTTTATATGATAAACTTCAATGTAAACATATGTGTAGAAGTCCATAATAAGGAAGGTGTTCAAAACAAAGTTTTTGGTTGAACAAATCAAAGACAGGCATAAATGATAAAACGAAGCCAAGGAGAGCAAATTGAAACCTCACCTCGTTACAGTGCCAATCCTCTGTTGGATTTCTTTCTCCAGAGCTTCGGCATTTGCACCACCAGCCTTATTTAACCTCTCGAAACAAGATTGGGTTTCTTGAATGAGAATGTTGGTCTGATGGTAAAGTGACTCCATTTTCCCGTTTAAAGCGAATCCAAGCGTCAATTACGCATGCCAGTCCAGACTAGTGCGAATGCATCAAAGAAACTCCAACACCCAATTGTCAAACAAGACGACAACCGACACGTCAGGCGTCACTCGCGTCGTCAGCTAGCGCTGCGCCTTGACGAACTTGTTGCACAACGACCTCCACTTCGACTGCCGCATCGCGAGCGCGGCAAATTCAAACAAGCCGGTGTTCTGATGCGGCCATTGGGTCAAGTTTGGGCGAAGGGAAGTCCACCACAGACCAGCGAGGTGTACAGTCGCTCTCGAAAGAGATGAGACCGGCTATACTCCGTGCTCGGCATTGAAAGTCCACTGCGGTGCGGAGTATCGCCTGGCTCATTTCGTCTGAGAGATATTATTCATTTCGACAGAAGGACTTTTGGGTGGGATGGAAACGAGTAGAAACTCAGCCGTCGTCAGTTGTCCTAGTTTACAGTCTTCGGGCTTGGCACGATTGTGAACCAAACTTCTACACCCCACACACCGTAATGCACGGTCCCTGGCCCACCTCAGCGAGCCGCCAGAGGCTAGGCATAAACAGCCTAAGATGCCATCTCCGTGTCATCTAGTCGCTTTTAAATTCGTTTCATTTTCACCCCTCTTGCGGTGTTCCCTTGGCCACCCGTTGCAGTGTAGGGCTCCAGCAAACGGCTCCGGCATGAACAGCGGGGGGTCAGCGCGGCCCGGCGCTCCGGCCAAATCACTTTCCATTATTTTCACTCTTGATCCTGGAACGAAAACACGACAGCGGGCGGGAGGGAGAGGGGAGGGGAGGGGGAGGGTGACCGTTCCCTTTCCTTCCCCACCTTCAAACACTCTCACTTGCCGCGCCGGGAAACTCCCGACCCGCCCGACCCGTCTCGACCCCGGGGTGCGGTGGGGCGGGGCGGGGCGCGGCGGGTGCCGGTCTACCTCTTTCCCTGCCCCGCCCGCCCCGCCCCGCCCGCATCGGAGTCGCGCCGTCTCCACTCTCTTGCCTGGTTCAGTTGGACGGTACTGATCCGGGCGACGCATAGTGCGCCTCCGCGATTGTCACCGCGTCTCGCCCACGCACTACATCGGCTGCTTCGCGACCCTCGTCTGCGCGCCCTGCTCCAGGAGACTGACCGCCACCTCGCCAAGCCCGCTCTGCTGCACGGCGGGTACGTACGTACGTACACAGGAAATGCGCTGAGCTTTCCCCCGCGGTGCGCTGCGACCATTTCGCGAGTGAGAGTGTCATCGATGCCACGCGATGCGGGTCCCGTCGCCTCACTTCTCTCGCGAGTGGTTGCACCTCCCTGAACCGCGCGCGCGGATTGGGTGTACGTAGTTGCGACGCGGGGAAGTCCCAGCCGCGCCATAGGGAACTCCTTGCTGGGGTTCTAGCGTCGAACTTGGCCTTGCTAGGCGCACCAGTACTCCGTGACCCCGGTGCAAGCATTGCAGCAACGCGTCCACTGTGAGAATCGTCGGAGTCCTCGAGTCCCCGTGGCGCTGCTTGCTCTGGGCGCGGCTCCACGCTCGTTTACTCTTGCCTAATCGCGCGCGGCGTGCGCGTCACAGGTGTGTCGGTGTGTCACACGGACGGCGCACGCACACGCGTCCGGTTCCGGCTCGGCTCGGCTCGGCCGGGCCCTTGTTTCGGTTTCGGGCCGGCCGGCTGTTATGCCATCCGAGCCGAGTACCGAGAACAGAGTTCCGTTGCCCTGCTTTCAAAACGTCGTCTTCCCGAAGCGCCACCGCCCCGAATGACGCACTAACAGTGTAGGGTAAATTTTGAACCTGAAAGTGGGCGAAAATCACTCGAGAAGTTGCCTTGTACGTTAGCACGGCACCATTTCGACACTGTGAGGGAACGTTCTGGTCATTGTACTCCATTGCTGCAGTGAGCGCCATGCCGCGCCTCCACCCCCTGCTGTCGCTGGCCGTCGTCCTGCTGGCCGTCAGCCTGGCGACGGCTTCGCGCGAGCCGCACGTGATCAACGGCTTCAAGCCCGCGGCCGTGGACCCCGCCAAGCAGTCGACGCACCGCGTGGACGCCGAGCCCAGCGACCCCGTCGACGTGGACGAGGACGGCGTGCCGGGCTACGGCCTCAACGGGGCGCACGGCGACCTCACGCCCTGGCTGCCCTCGCAGCCGTCCTGGCAGCTGCCGCAGCGACAGCCGCTGCAGCAGGTCCAGCAGGTCCAGCAGGTCCAGCAGCCACCGCAGCAGCCACCGCACGCACAGGAGGCGCAGTCACCGCAGGAGTTGACAGAGCTACCGCAGATGCAGCAGGTCCTGGTCCAGCACGCGCCCCAGGCGCAGCACGCGCAGCACGTGCAGCAGGAACAGGACGGCAACATGATGCGCGTCATCCACAGGCCGGGCGCCGGGCCCACCCCTTCAGCGCACTACATCGTGAACCGGTAGGTGTGTCGGCGAGGAGAGCGAGAAAAGCGTTTCCGGGCCGGAGCCCCTGTGAACGGCAGGGTAGGCCCGCCCGTTACACGCGGGTGTCATGGTGTGTTGCCTACCACGCACTTCGCAGGCGCCGTGAGTGATTCGAAAATTCCAATTTTAGCGTTTGTGGAACGTTAAAACGCTTGCTTTATCTTAGTGCTTTGAACTTTGGTTGCAGCCCGGCTGCCGGTGACCGCATCGACACCCTGGTGGAGACCAGCAAGCCACCGCCACCTCCGAAGAAGCCTCAGCGGCCCGCCGCCGCCGCCGCGCCGGGCACCGTGTCGGAGACGGACATGTACCTGTTGGGCGCCATCGAGAAGCTCGTCTACCGCGTCGACTTCCTGGAGAAGCGGCTCCGGCGCACGGAGGAGCTGGTGTACTACTTGATGGAGGGCGCCGGCAACAAGCAGGAGCAAGGTGGGCAAGGCTGATTCCGAGCAGCGCCTTCGTCGCTCTGTCTCTCTCGCACTCGCGCGGACACCTTCAAGTGTTCTTCGTCTAAGTGACGAATAACGATCTGTGCCTTCCAGAAGCCGAGCCGTGCCCGAAGGACTTCACCCGCGCCGGCAGGCACTGCTACCACTTCTCCGGCCGCGACCTCAACTGGAAGTCGTCCTCCTCGGCCTGCAAGGCCATGGACTCGATCCTCGTCGAGGTCATCGCCCCCGAGGACAAGCGCGACCTCGTCAACTGGATCACCGCCCACCAGGAGTTCAGAGGTAAGGGGAGAATTGGGTAGGGTAGGGTTAGCGCCCGGCCGGTAGGCAACCCATCGTGCTGTCTCCCTCGCGCGCCTAGGGGATGCCCCATGTCGGCGAGAGAGACAGAGTCCCTGGCGTTACCGCTGTCGTCCGCCCCCAGGCCGCGACTTCTGGACCGGAGGGCTGAACCCCGGGCTGCTGTGGATCTGGGCGAACAGCGCGCGGCCCGTGTCCTCGTCGTCCAGCGCGGGCAACGGCACCAGCAGCAACGCCATCAAGAACCCCGGCGGCGAGGACATCCCCGGCAACGGGCGCTGCCTCAAGCTCGCCTACAACCCTGCCACGCGCCAGTACAACTACCAGGGCGGCGACTGCTCGGCGCGGTTCCGCTTCATCTGCCAGCTGGAGGAACCGACCGCCTCGCGCGCCCTGTCCCGCATCCACAAGTCACTCAACATCCGCGTCGACGGGGACTCGAACCCGCCCCCCGCCGTGTGAACGCAGCGGAACGCAGCGGGGCTGGCGCTGGCGGGCAACCATGGCTTTGCCACTCCCAACATTTTCTGGTGTAAATCCCTTCAGAGATTCCGGATGCTTTCCCAAAGATTTCCGACGTGCCCCTTGAGATTCCAACGGTTTGCCTAAAGACTCCCGGAGTGGCGCCCGCTTCGCCGAAGGGGGATTCGATTGTCTAGTCACAGGCGCGTCGCACGCAGCTGCGGCAAGCGGTTGTTGAAGGAGAAGGAGGTGTTTTTGCGGTTCGCTTTAGTGTCTCATTCCGACAGTATGTAAATAAGTGTCAATTTATTTAAATAAATTATTTTTCGACCAAGCCGGCCCGATTCTTGCCCCGCATTGTTGGCTGTTGCGTGGAGGGTGCCGGTGTGCCCGCCCCAGCCGCCCGCACTTCCACCACACCAGGCGCCGCCACCCTCCACCACCTCCAGAAGGACCACCGAGTAGCAAACGTTGCCGGAGTCGCAGCGGGACGACATTGAACTGCTGCGGTCGGCGCAGAACGGGACAGACATGACGCGCGGAAGGTCCGGGTACCCCGTCACCAAGCTCATGACCCCCGAGGTAGGCGAGGCGACAACGATCAGATCGGCCTCACGGAATAGGGTTGCCTGCCTCACCGTGCTTTGTGCGCATGCGGTGCAGGTGGGCAAGTGGGTGACGGTGAACGTGAACGGCAACTCGCACCACGTGGCGCGCATCCTCATCAGCCCCTACACGGTGCGCCAGTTCGAGAACCTGCTGTCGCACCTCACGGAGAAGCTCAAGCCGCCCTTCGGCGCCGTGTGGCGCCTCTTCACGGAGGCCGGCGTCGAGGTCAAGGACCTGGACGAGATCGAGAGCGGCGAGAACTACATCGCGTCCGGCCGTTCCAGGCCCATGTTCCCCATCAGGTCAGTCGGGCGCCCCCGACGTCCAGCAGAGGGGCTGACAGGCAACCCTCTCGTCGGGCGCCCTGTGGAGATCTCGCGGTGGTGTCGGAGTGACTTGGGAGTGACCGCCACTGCAAACGCCCTGCGACAGGATGGGAGTGAAAGCCGGCCGGAGACGGGACGGCCGGGACGGGCGAGAGCGGGAGCTTCGAAGCCACAGTGCCGTGGGGTCGCTGGGCGGCGGGGGCGGCGGCACCAGAGGCGGGGGCGGCGCGGGGGCGGGCGGGGCCAGGGCCAAGGGGGCCATGCTGGACGCGGCCAGCGATACCAACGTCAAGCAGCACGCCAAGTACGGCCCCGCCAGCGCCGCCGCCAGCCAGCCCCCCAGGCGGGCCCCCGCGCCGCGCAGGAGCAAGGCCAGGACCAAGGTTCGAACCCCAACCCCAAGGAGCAGCAGCAGCTTCCCTCGTCATTGCTGTTTTGCTCTCGCTGATTGGAACACGTTCACTTCGAACCCCCAGGTCGGGGAGCACAGCGAGCCTGCGAGCCAGGTGTGGGACCACTCCCTTCACAACCAGCAGCGGAGTCACTACCAGGTGTGTTCCCTGAAGGTACACTCAAGTTGGATTGCTGAACACAAATGGTGCCCTCTACTGTAATTTGAAATATTTTTGCAGCAGCCCATCTCATCCGCGAAGCGCAGACACTGCCCTAATAAGGCTCGCCATGACAAGGAATTTGCAAGCGATGAAGAGACAGGGGCTGTGGACAGAATTTCATGCAGGTCTCCTGAGAGATTCACCAATCAAATCACATACAAGGTCTGAGTTTGGTCTTAATACAAAACAAAATGCAAATTGCTTTCTTTGTCTTTATTTTTGAAACAGTCAGAAATTGTTATTTTGGCCACCTTTGTTTCAGACAACTTCAGAGGGAAGAACCCTGCCACAGACAAGACTCAAATTGTGAATTACAAATTGCAAGAAAGAACACGGTAACGTTTGCTACAAATATTGTACAAAACCAAAATTTCACTAGAACACATAACACATAAGAAAGCTGTTGTTTGTTTTCCCTTTTTATTGTATTGGATACAATTAATGTAGACCTAAATTTACTTGGGCAGAGATACATCACAAGATCTAAAGTGAAGAAGTGGAAATCAGAAAATCTTACAGTACAGCCTGATAAAAGCAGCAACCAATAAGTCACAGTTGACAATTACTATCCTACAACACAAATCAATTATTTCTCCACGTCATTTAACAGTGGCAAATTTAAGTAATACAAATAAATTATGCATATGCCCTGACTTACAGTGACAATCAAATTGGAATGCAATCTTGATGTCATCAGTCTCAAGAATCATTAACAATTTTGTAAGTAAAACATCACAATGAACAGATTCACACCACTAGTACATTCCATATGTCAATAAGTTTTCAAAAACAAGAAACAAAAACAATTGAAATAAATGAGCCACTGGCAATAATAAAAAGGACCATGATATACTGGTTCAACCAGAAATTCACATACAAACAAAAAATCAGTTTTTAAATAAACCTATTACAGAAAACTTACAATATTTCCAAGATAAAATAAATAAATGAAAGTTACTCGTTCTGTCAGCAGAATTCTGTCGTGAGCCCACTCTCAAAAGTTAATGGCGAAGAAATTTAGTCTGTTCAAATACTCCGCTACAGTAGGTTTAATGGAATACCATAAAGACAGAATCACAGGCAGAAAATGTGTCGAAGATGGAACACTTTGACTAGAGTTCAGAGGGATCATGAGAAACTGTTCTTGAATCAAATTCATTTTTATGTATAAAGAGACCTTCCATAGCAAGCCACTGCGATGATGATGATATAGAAAAGTCCCCAATAACTTCTGCTTGTCCACTGATCGGACGCCCAAATTGACGCCCAGATACCCCGAGGTAACTGAAACAAGAAATAAAGTTAATTTATTGATATTAAAATGCACAGAAATTAAAACTGGCTTAAAGAAATGAAACTTACACATCGGTATCTATGTGCTGAAAAGAAACTTCTCCTTTGCGATCCCAGAATGATCCATCACAAATCAGCTTCCAGTTATCCCCAGTATCACCCACACCTAAATAAAAATACAGTTAGAAGTTGCATCTTTCGACATTTTTGGAAATGCTGGCTAGAGAATCATACCATTTGAACCATAAGCAGAAATCTCTTGCTTGTTGGAAATAGGAGACGGGAATAAATGTGAATGAAGGTTTTTGTTTGTTGAAAGATGTTCCAACCTAATAATGGAGCCACATTGAATTGGTTCACTGCAGTAGGAAAAAACAAAAAATAAGTTAGATGAAATTGATAAAAGAGACGGGTAAAACATAGTTAAAGACAATTATTCTTACCCTCTAGTACACTGTTTTCCATTTTCAGCTTTCACAACCCAGTGAGAATTGCCATCATCTTTTTCTTCTACCCCTGTAACCGATTGCTGACCACTACCTGTTCCATACTTTACATCGTGAGAGTGTAAGCGAACTTTAGTGGCAGAGTTCATAAGCTTAAGGACTGATCCACAAGATACATAACGAGCACTCTTTCCTGCAAACAAACAATACACCTTGAGCATGAGTGAATGCACGAATCAGCAAATGTAATATCCTGGGAACCCTTGGAGTTTCCAACGAATTATTACTGAATCAATGGTATTGGGTGGAACAAAATTATTTTCTGTAATGAAGAAATTGCAAAGGTGTTTCTAACCTTTACTACTTAAGGTACTTTCGAGAAGAGACTAGTAAGGGCCAATATGAAAATAAAAAAGTGGAAGAAAGAGAAAAATAAAAATATTATTGAAGGTGAAAAATTAATTTGGATGAACAGAATAAAAATGACTGGAAGCTGAACTGCCAAGGGGTAAGGAGCCACCAAAAGAGCCCCACAGCAATTCAAAAGCGGTGACACAGCAAACAAACATTACACTTGAGTCATTTTAAGATGTACTAACCTAAGGCGTGATTAAAAAATAAAATAACACACAGTAAAACCAAAATATTCAGATTTTTCGACATTGTGTTTCTATCAAATAGTGACATTTTTAAACAGACTACGCCGACTACACGTCAAGGTTTCTGATTGGTCTGCCTTTACGCCCCCTGGAAACGTGAAACGTCCCTTGCAATGATAAGCAGAGATGAGCTATCCACAGTTAAAAACTTGCTTGTGACGTTCGTCACTACCGAAGCATTGAATTAGAAATTGGAAAAATTAAAACACTCAAACAGACCATGAAAAGACTCTCTCTCCGTGAAATATGTAAAAATTCCTTACTCCAAACATCGGAAGAAGAAGATGGGAAAACCAACCATAACATCCTTTTCGGCGTTGGCGTTGTCCTTCCTCTTCCGATTCGGTCTCATTCCAGTGTCTACTCCGGTCTTAGTAAGTACCTGTCCCATCTCAAATTTTATCCGCGTTAATCTTTGCAAGTTTTTGGAGTTGAGCGTCATTTCTCTCATTTTTTAGTCCACTAATTACCCTTCTTTTCTTCCGAATCATGAGACGTTTGCACGCAGTCCCGATTTTATGGGATTTTCGAACTTATATATCAACCGCTTGCCGCGTCGCTAGGTTAAAGAACATGTTCGGGTCACGTTTTCCAAAAATGCAACTTCCAGTTGATTTTAACTTAATTTGTAAGTCCTCTGCTAGGCACTCTTTGAACCCGATGAATTTGTTGCATCGATCTTGTTGGCTCGCGTATTTATTGTCCTTCTTATTCTTAACCTCAGTCACCTCCTGCACAGTAGCGACTCCAGTGTCACCGCATGTCCTGTTTCATTTTTAACTTTTCATTTTATTTGTTGCAGTCCTTAAACACTTAAGGTATCCCTATTCCACTTCAAGATGGGTAGGGAGGATAAGGCAACATGGAAGGCGAGCTACTTCAGCAAGATTGTCGTAAGTATCTAGAAAATGTCTCCCTCCCCATTTAACTGATGGGTTCCTTTACGCATCAAGACTAACCTGTGTTTGTATGTCATCAGCAACTTTTGGATGAATATCCGAAGTGCTTCATCGTGGGAGCAGACAATGTCGGCTCCAAGCAGATGCAGCAGATCCGTATGAGCTTGAGGGGTACTGCCGTTGTGCTCATGGGTAAGAACACCATGATGCGCAAGGCCATCCGTGGACATCTGGAGCGTAACCCTGCTCTGGAAAGGTGAGTGTCGTTTGGTTCACTCTCTTGTTGGTGCTCTTGTCCTCTTGTTGTTGAATTCGCCAGTTTTGGTTTGGGTAGTTCAAAGGTTAGCGATATCTCCATTGAATGATGATTCAAAATATAGGAATTGCCGTCAGAACGATAACTGAAGATTAACTTGATTCTGACTCTTGGAGAACTCAGTTTGACATCGCTGGACATTGCACACCTGCTGTTCTTTACTTGTTTCTGGCTTGCTGTAGTATTATTGTCATCACGTCTCCTGGTGACAGTTAAGCCAAGAACTACTATCAGGGGTTAAAATTTCACTTACCACTTGGATATTTTGTTTTTCCCGATGAGACTATCTCCGTTAAGTGATGATCCAAATTATAGGAATTGCCGTCGGATCGATATCTGAAGAAATACTTGTTCTGAATATCGGAGAACTTCATTAATGTTGCTACCCACTGTTAGTATCCATTGAATGATGATCCAAATTATAGGAATTGCCGTCAGATCGAAATCTGAAGATTAACTTCATTCTGATCAATGGAAAAAACTCGTATCTTGAAGTTACCATGCCCTCTGATCCATTGTAAATTGGTTTTCAGAACATACAATAATTATGTATTCATAGTTACTGTCTGTCTCCTTTGAGTGATGATCCATATTATAGGAATTGCCGTCGGATCGATATCTGAAGAGAAACTTAATTCTGATCATTGGAGAATCAGTACAACCGAAGCCTGTGCTCTTTATTTGTTTCACTGCAATCTTGAAATCGACTTCAGGTTTCCCTCCAACCATTCTCTTGTTTTCCTGTTTATCATTATTGATCTGACTTTCCTCTTGGTTTCCAGGATTCTTCCTCACATCCGTGGAAACGTGGGCTTTGTCTTCACCCGCTCAGACCTTGTTGAAGTCCGTGACAAGCTGGTGGAGAACAAGGTCAAGGCTCCTGCCCGTGCTGGTGCCATCGCGCCATGCCCTGTCATCATTCCCGCCCAGAACACTGGTCTTGGTCCTGAGAAGACCTCTTTCTTCCAGGCTCTGTCCATCCCCACCAAGATTGCTAAGGGTACCATTGAAATTATCGTAAGTGTATCCCTATTATGTAAAGTCCTGTGAGATTTGCTTTGTGTGTGTCCTGTCTTACTGAATTATTTGCGTTCCAGAATGATGTCCACATTCTGAAGGAGGGTGACAAGGTGGGCCCCAGCGAAGCCACACTGCTTAACATGCTTAACATCTCACCCTTCAACTATGGTTTGATTGTTGAGATGGTCTATGACTCTGGCACCATGTTTGAGCCTAAGATCCTTGACATCAAGCCTGAAGACTTGCGTGTGAAGTTCATGGAGGTATGTCTTCATTTACATCTACATTTCAAACTTGAAAATCCACCCAAGATGCTAATAAATTTCTTTTCATTGTGTGTAGGGTGTTGCCCGCCTTGCTTCAGTTTGCTTGGCTATTGGTTATCCTACTGTCGCATCTGTACCTCACTCTGTCATCAACGGTTTCAAGAACCTGTTGGCTGTGGCTGCTGTGACGGATGTGGAGTTCAAGGAGGCTAAGACTGTCAAGGAGTACTTGAAGGTTTGTATTTTTTTGAATGTCTTCTACACAACTCAGTACCGCGTCCCTGATATAATGTCTAGTATGATGTAAGCATTTCACGTCTAAATGTTCTGGTTCCCTTGCTGGCGCTAGAAATAGCAGAACCCTCCAGCAAGTCAGAACACTGGTTGAAATTCGCCTTATGGCTGTCTGACTAGACTCTAGTTTGTTAAGAGTAGTCCATATCCAGAATCTGCTGCTGCTGAGATGCAGTTGATTACAGGCTTCTCATTTTCAAAGCCGACTCTAGACCATAAGGTGAGGCCAGACCAGAGGTTTCTGCATTAATTCATTTCACAGAATTGGTGCTGTTCACATCTTACTAAGTGCTAGTCTGTAATTACCCTGCTTAATTGATAGATTCTGGATTTGGGTTGATCAGTCTTTATTGCCTCTAGCATGATGTAAACAATTTGTGTCTGAATTTTCTGGTTCCCTTGCTGGCGCTAGAAATAGCAGAACCCTCCAGCAAGTCAGAATGTCAGTTGAAATTGGCCTTACGGCTGTCTGACGAGGATTTCTACATGTAAATGCATTGACGTTGTGTGTCTCGATATATTTTAATTGTGCTTATAACTTTGCAGGATCCTTCCAAATTCGCCGCAGCCGCCGCTGCCGCAGCTCCTGCTGCTGCTGCCAAGGTTGAAAAGAAGGAGGAAAAGAAGAAGGAAGAGAGTGAAGAGGAGGAGGATGACGATATGGGCTTCGGTCTGTTCGACTAAGGTTCTAAGCTGCATCTGCCTATGGCCTGACGGAAATAAAATAATAAAACCCTCATCCTGTGTTGTTGCTTAAAGAAGACCCTTTGATTTTCATGATGCTGATTTATTTACATTTGCTTTCCATGACAAATAGATATTCCATAGGAGTGATACAAACTGCACTGTTGTCATTCTGAGATGTGGAGGAACTAGATAGAAGTTGCATAATTGAACACAAGGCCATACCTGCAGAAGCAGAATCTTGTTAATGGTAGTAGGATTCTGATGAAGATTGAGGAGGATTGATGCTTACCTTCAAATTGTTGAGCATGATTTCAGTGTATGAATTCTGAAGCTTTTGCATTACTTGTTGTGGATGCATACCATTAGCAAAGCACACAGAAGTCAAAATGACAAGGACGAATGGTGGTGCAAAGCAAACTTGATCTAAGGCTAGTTTCTTACACACAGTAGCTGGAGTTGAGCCAGGGAGTTTCTTCTCCAGGACTTTATACCATGCAGCCCTACCTGGTGCCTGAGACATGGAAACACAGTGAGGTGGTACAAATCATGAAATGGAAAAGCAGGGTAGGGGAAAAGGTGACACCAACCACAATGCAAAGACCTATCACACCAAATCTCAGTGATCGTCCCACATCAACAGAGTTCAACAACTTTTTCTCAACCACAAGTTGTGATATAAAATCCGCTGAAGTCATTATGATCCCTGGGGAACAGAAACTGTTAGTGCATGGGAAATCATTCCAGTTGTGTAACACATGTAATCAGTTATAGTTGAGTAAACAGCCTGTGGTATGACTCAGGCCAGCATGCAACTGCATAAAGATTTGAAATGCAACAATGTCCTTCAGACTTACCTGTTTCTATGGCGTGCGTTATTAGAGGTTTGTTTTTGTACGCATTTTGATACAACCGTAATGCGTTCATATTGACGAATTTTATGTGGGTCTTCTACTTCGTGTGGATTCCCGCGTCGTCTCACCCTAACCTTGACCATGAGAATTTCCTAAAATGCGACTCGTCACCGACACTCGAACATATCGGGTGGTATTAGACTAACAAATTGGGAGCTTTTCCCAAGTTTTGAAACTGTCTCCTTAAAGAATCTTTCAAGATACATTTAAAAATACAGCCTTTTGTTGTGCTGCATGCACTGTCACGAGCTGACGTCTGACGTTAGCAGACGCCAGAAGCAGAAAGACAGCTGCTATGCAAATCTACCAGATAGAGATCGAGATTGCAGTTCGGGCAATGTGTTTTGTTCTTCTTCCGAAGAGACGAGACAGCTAACATTTTTTTGGACCCGGAATTTGCCCCTCGCCATTCAGCAGATGTGGTTTTGAACAATGCCTTACATTTGTTGCTGGAATCCTTAGAGAAAACGACGCAGTCTTCTTTCTGGTTGGTTTTCGTTTGTTACTGTGTACATGTGTGAGTGTCTCTGGCCGTGTCTGTGTGTGTGTGTAGGGGGTGGGGGCATGGTGGGGGTGAGGTTCGTTCGCGTCAGTGTGTGTGAGTGGTGGTGAGCTAGCGATCGTTCACCCCTTTTGTAGCTTTTTAATTTGTGTACATTATTAATGGATGATGGGGCGCTTCTATCGGAAACTGCTGTAAACTTCATCCCCGCACCGCAATCACACATTTGTACCGACATCGGTGCGAGCGAGACCACCATCATCTACCTTCGTGCATCCATCGAAGCCCTTGAGTTTTGTTTCCCGGCGGTTTTTACCGTCGTTCTTTCAAGCGCTATGTAAAACAAGGCTTGTTTGGAGCACGGTCTTCGCCTTCTGCCCCACGAGCAGGCCCATCAGGCCTCACAGGCTTCCTTTGAAAGGGGAAAAAGAAGCACAGGTAAATTATCCCGGCCGCCCATCAGTAAACATTTTCAATAAGATAGGTTAGCGGTCAGGCCTCGGACCCTCCTAATGTTTTGGTTGTCTCTCTCCGGCTTTAAATTGTTGTCTTTTTTCGAATGGCTACAATTTCTTGGCAGACTTTAAACCTTGGATCTAAGGAATAATATCGCAATTTTCTTTTTGACTTCTCAAGTCACTTGCTTAATTTTAGTGGACAACGATAAGAGCTTTATTTTGAGTCTAATCACTGTGAAAGGCCTCATTTGTTTGACCATGCAACAACGCTTTACTTCTTTTATTGTACCACTGTGGCCAGTTTCCATTTTCTGAAAGAATCAGCTCTTTACGTTTCTAGTGATGTGTGTTTGGAACAAAGCTCTGTGTATACAACTGCTTTTTTTTTGTGGCTACGTGAGTGTTGGTAAGGGTCCTCTAACTGAAAGGTAAATCACCCTGAAACTAGAAATTGTCTGGAAGACGACTGACTCACCGAATAGGTTAACTGTAAATGTCTGATAGATGACTTGCTCGAATGGACATTTGACTGGGCGATTAAAGGTGAAGGGGAAGGCACTGCTGATTCTTACCAGGAAAGACTTTGGGACTTGGAAATATTTGAGAGGCTACTGAATGACAGTGGAGTGACTCATATCTGACAACAACTGAAGGTAAGGTGTTGACCAGAATAAAGCAATAACTTGGATGTGACTGGATCATCAGAAAACAAATGGGTAACTGAATCATAACACCATGAGAAGGGTTTTCCAGATTGTGTTCCATGTTTTAGGTTTTCTTCTTATGCATATCAATGTCATGCTGATGTGATCTCATTTCTTTCAGACATACGCACTTCATCACAAGCTTGAAATGCATTTTCCTACTAATGGATAGTACAATTAAAATAGTGTTGGTGCCAATGCACCCCAGTTGATTGGTGCAGTCTGCAATGACTGACACACACAGCATTGTTTTCTTGAAGGTGAGCAGAGGCAATTTTAATTCATCCTTTTTGAAATTTTAACAGAGAGAGGGCTTACAACTTTAACCAATCATAAAGGCACACTGTTTTATTTGTCATGTATCAATAGTCAGTTTTAGTCCCTTAGTTTGAGTCAATGTTCTTGTCCTTTGATTATGTTTAGACCCTAGGTACAAAGTGTTGAAGAATGCCTCTGTTGTGTTTTTAATAAAGCACAATCCAATCTAAAAAATTCTTATTTTTAGTTCAATGCTAGAATTTTTTTTTCGTTCTGTTAGTGCAAGTGTATTATTTCTTTTTCCAAAGGCTCTGTTTAGAGCAAAGGAATTTTAATTATTTACTAGATTTTATGTGTCAAAGTAGAATTTATGGGTTTTGCATGTTAGCCGGCTATTGTTTTGTCTGGAAGCATTCAAACTGTTACTTGTATGTGTGCATGTGCGGGTTTCGTTCTTTGTGTTTGTGGCATGCAAGGATCGAGAGTGGATGTAAAGAAACACCACTTTTTGAATGATTGTCTTACATTCAGATCATTCTCGGGGCAATGCTTCCATTGATCGTTCATATTTTTTAATTTTTTCCACCTTTTTTTGTCACTTTAAGACTTGCTTTGAAAGGGTCAATCATGCTTCTTTGTTTTTGCTTTTACTGTGTTGACCTTTATGTTTGTGGCAAGGTGGTTTGTCACTGTTGCTTTTTTGTTTTAAAGCACTGTCTTTTATTTATTTTTTCTAATTTCAAGGCATATTTACTCGATGTAATGTGGCTTTGTGATTTTCTAAGCTTTTGTGCCGTTTCATTGTGCCCCATTCTTATTTTTTCATAGCTTGCATTTGATAATTTTTCCAAGATATTTTAACTTTTTATAAATATTTATATTTTAAAATTTAAATGTCCATTTCACAGATACTTAATTATACTGAGGCTTGACATTTCCTTAAGTAATTTTGTAAACTCTTCGTATTGCCACATCTGCAAAGATGTTATTGATTCATTTACAGGTGCAGAAATACAATGTAACAATTTGAATGCTGTAGGATATACCCTAGGACAGCAATATCCGCAAACTTCAGAATGCAAACATGACAAATGTTAAACAGGGTTGCTATGTACTTCTAGAACGAATACCACAGAAAGTTCTTGATGTACTTTTATGTAGACAACCGAATTTTAAGAAGGTAATAACCTGTAGAAGTTGATAGTAGGGCCATCATTTGAAGGCATCTTTTTTTTTTCAGGATGTAATCTGATGTGTAATTATGATGCTAAACTAGGGCCCCTATTAATTGAATTTATGTCTCTTTGTGAGTTGCTGAAAATAGTGAAAATAAAATTTAATCCCTAGGATTCTTGGTAGTTGTGTTATTATAGCTGGGTCTCTGTTTAACAGTCAAGAATTGAGGACGCCCCTGCGGCTCCTGACAGCACCACATCCATGTTTGTCGAAGGTGAAGATGTCCTTGTTGACCGAAATCACACTGGTCAATTTTTTATGGGTACAATTGTGCAGGTACTTGTGCTGGTCTCTTTTCACATCTTCTCTCTTTTCATCTCTGTTAATTGTTTAGTTTTTATGAAAACACTTATTTCAGATTGACAGAGCCACAGAAAAATGCATGTTGCGTTTTCTGGATAACAAGGAATGCTGGGCCCACTTAAATGAGTTGCAAAGAGTTAAAGATGACCCTGAGGAAATTCTCTGTGTTATTTGTAAGAAAATTGACCAAAATGTTGTTAGATGCCCCAAATGTGGACGAGGTTATCACAGATCATGTTTAGAGGTAAAGTCATCAACCAACATTAATCCTATTTGAGAACTATCACCCATTGCTTACATTGTGTTTATTCTGTTATGCTCTTATTTTTGCAGCCAAGCGTCCCAGTAGACCCTGCAGCCAAGTGGCTCTGTATAAGATGTAACAAAACGCTGAAGAAGAAGCGTGGCAGGCCTAGCTTAGCCTCAGCTCATGCTAATGCTGAGCTCAGAATATCCTTACCAGCATCCCTGCCAAGCACACTGTCTTCTAAAACCGCCGCCAGTATATCAGTGTCGGCTGCAATATCTGAGCACCATCCTCGTGTGCCATGTACATCGAATGCCCCTCCTAGCCCAATAAAGAAGAAGCCCATCATTCGTGAACTGCCTTATTCTGTGAGTTATAAATAGACAAAAATTTGAATGCTGATCTATTTTGAGATGACAGTAACAACAATCATTTTTTGCAGTTGCAATCCTTGGTGTGGGATGAGTCACACAGGGTAAATGATTGTCAGCAGTATTGCTACTGTGGAAAACCTGGTGACTGGTATATACAAATGCTACAGTGTGCATATTGCCGCCAATGGTTTCACCAAGACTGCCTATCCTGCCTTCATTTTCCTCTATATTGTGGTGATCAGTAAGTGATAAAGTTCTCAAGATTTATTTCAATAATTTATACTTATTTCCACTGGTTTGGGTTGAAGTTGGTTCTTTTTTTTAATAATGTATTGGTTTTGTTTTAGGTTGTATCTTTTTTTGTGTTCTGTGTGCAATGATGATGAGTTCTTACGAAGGTTTGATTTTGGCTGGGTAGACATTGTGCATCTTGTAATTTTCAACTTGATATTGTTCAAAAAGAAAAAGTACTTTGATGTTGACAGTGAGATCATTCCATATGTTAAAAATAATTGGTTTTATCTGCAAATTCCTGCTCAGGTATTAACTGCTATACAAGCTTACAGTTACTTCCTGTACTACACTAGTAAACAAAAATATGATGGAGTTACTTTTATTTTCAGCTTGTAAAGTGCAGTGATTCAGAACTGCGAAAATTTATACTGAAGATGCTAGAAGATAACTCAACAAAGTACTTTCCTTTCTTCTTCATGACTCTTAATAATCCATCCAAGTTTCTTTGTGCATATACTGATCATTTCTTTTTATTGTAATTTACAGAAACTGCCGTTTTAAATCTGGAAAGGAGTTAAATACTAAAAAGCGGATTTGGGGCCTTCGAAATAGAGTTCCTCCCAAAAGAATTGCATTTTCCTTGCCCCCAGTTCGACCTCTTACAGATGATGCTGTGAAGTCTTGGTGGAAAAAGTGCCATATTACATTTCGGCCACCTTTAGAGTAAGTTGATCAAGAGCCATTATTTTCCTAGTTCAGTTGATTCTTTTTTTTTTGTTGTTGGCTCTGTTTATTAACCTTTGTTTGTTGTTCACAGTGCAAAGTATTTAATGAGGAAGGATACTGTACTGCAACCAGATGGTGAAATGTCTCAGTTTAACTATTGCTTGATGCTTGGCCAGTCTCCATGTGCTCCTATTAATATTTCAAGAAATCTGCGAGAAGCTGCCATAGGCATTCATCTTCTTGACCCTAGTATTCTGCTCCACAAGTTTTCATCAACTATTTCAGTGAATGGGCAAAAGGTGAGTTAATGGCAAAGTAACTTTCGTATGTATATGTCTTGAGTTATTTTTTAAACTCTTGATCACTGAATTTATGACGCAGGTGCCCATGGATAGTTACATTGGTTATGCCAAAAAGTCCTCTGCTTTCTGTGCTTCTAATCGGCTAGCCCTTCAAGAATCATTGCGACACAACCGACGAGCAAATCGAAATAAGGTCTCTCCCAGAAGTAAAGCACTTGGGAAAAAAGAATTGTTGAGTGCAGGAAACTGTGATGACGTTTTGGAAAACAGCAGCCAAGATGGATATGACTCTCTTGACAGTCAAACAAGTTTTTCGGAAGATGACACTTGTGTCTCCTTGAATGCTGTAAGTTTGAAGCCGCTTTTTTCATACATTGTATCTGTTTTATTTTCACTCATTACAATCCTTGATTATTCAGTTATTTTAAAAACAATCTAATGTGTTTCTGTTCACAGGAAAGCTTTGATGAAAATGATGCAAGCCAAGATGGCTACGATTCAAGTGGGGAAGAAAGTGATTTAAGTGTTGGAGAGGAAAGTACGTCCCTCTCAGTGCCCATATCCCTAGAGGACAGCCAAGACGGTCGAGAGAAATTCACAATTACACTAAATGAAGAGCCTAAAGTAGAAGAGAAACCATTTGTTGAAGAACTTGCATTAAACAAAGATGAAATTGTAGCAGAGACGGATGTAGTTTTAAAAGTTGAGAAAGTAAGTGCATTTTTCTTTCAGTGCTAATTTTACTTTTCTATTATCAATTTTATTAATTTTATTATTGTTATCATTATGAAAACTGATATTGTTTGCACCAGAAATAATTTTCTTTTCCTTTTTTTAAAATTTCAGTTTGAATCTGAGTATACAGGACACCAAGAGCTGGTAGAAACCCCTCTTGCATGCACAAGATTGGATGTCACACCATCAGTAGCTTCGCCAGTTACTGAATCCATTATGCCCTCAGTTTCTTCAACACCAGCCGACACTGAATTTGAAGAAGATTCCATCAGTCCCCCAGAAACTCGACCCTCAAGTCTACCTACAATAGCTGACCTGATAGGGGCCCCCATAGTCCTGCAAAAGGATCCACAGGACCTTCTGCTCCCCTCTCTGCCTCGACTTACCCCTGTTATCAATGAACCACCACAAGCGCGTGCTGTGAAGAGGAAACTAAGTGAGAAAGATATCAAAATTGTGAATGGGCAAGTTAAACAAAGAAGACGCTTAAGGCGTCTCCAGTCAAATCAAACCATTGGAACCAAAACGGTGCACTTGGACTCTGGTGAGAAGTTGGAGAAGCGTATTGTTGGTGGCAAACTACTCCGCAGTCCTCACAAGCCTATTGTTCCGGAAACTACTACTGATGTACACCTCCCTCAAGGGGAGACTTCATCATCTTCAAGTTCCACCTTTGCACGCCCTGAGGAAATGTCAGTATCTGATGTCAAGAGAAACATTAAGTCCATATTCAATGCTCGCAATCGAATTGCTTCAGGGGAGAAGTTTTTAGTAAAAGGTAGGAGAGTTACTGCAGATGGAGTTGAGTACCTTATTCAATGGGACTATTCATTATAGTATGTATGATGATAGGGTTTTACTTCATTCAACCATCCAAAGTTTAGACTAGCGCATAGTTGTTTAATGTGATAAGAGTTTTAAACTCCAGGCTCCTGGTGGTACAATATGTTTCACCTTCTACTTGGGACATTTGTTCAGGTTTTCATATTTCAGATTTGTAATTGCATCATTCCCAAAGGTTTCTTTTCCATGTGCTTTAAAAAGGGTATTGTAGTATATTTTGGAAGTATGGAAATTGTCCTATTTTAGTTGTTTTTATCTGACTCGTTGTGCATTTTTAATTTCTGATGCTTTTTTTTATTGTGTGTTTAGATAATTGTCCAGTCTTAAGTTTTCCCATCTTCTACCATACACTTTCAATTTTTCTTCATTCAATACATTAACCAGTGCATTGTTTCACTTTTTTTTTGGACTGTGATTTTTGTGACAGTATGGCACAAAACATGTAACGCCTAAGTTAACTAATTATTCATACCACCTTGCTATGCCTAGATTCAATCTTTATCTTCTTGAACTAGGTATTCACTGATCATTTTTTTTTAAATCACTGAAGAGAAGGATCACATGTTGTTAACTCTTGACCTTTTAATTTTAATTTTCTGTTGTACAGAAATAATTTTGTCTCTGTATGGGAATATCCAGCCAAAATCATGTTTGCGAATCGCGTGTTACTGCTATTATCTTTTTATTATGTATTTGCAATGTGGCTTTCAGTCCAAAATATTTTTTTTTCTGACCAAAACCATTTTGTAAACAAAATTTCTTTTTTTAAAAATCTCATAAGGTTCAGGTATTAGCTCATTTTAATGACAAGCTGTGATATGATGTCAAAGAGCCTAGGAAAATTGTGGAGTTGTACAGAATCATTTGGTATCAATCAATCATCGCATTATGAAATGTAGCAAATAGGTTATCAGGTTTTGTTTGCCCCTCAAAGGTTTTGTTTTCCCCTCAATGTAATTAAATTACCGCATCTGGAAGTTAAGAACTGCTGTTTTTCAGAGGTCATAGAGGTTCTAGATAAAGTCTTCCCACTTAAAAAATTGGCTTAGATGAAGGCCATTAAAGCTTCCACTCCTCAGTGATCTGATTTGTTGAATTCTGTGCATGTAAACCTTCAAAGTATGGTAACTCCTTCTCCCTTAATCCCCTAAGGCTTTCCTTGTGTCCTTACAATCCCCTCCCTCCACCCCACTCCCTATCCCCTCTCTTTTACCTAAACTTAATTCTTTTAACTGAGTGGTGCAAGTTTTCTGTATATAGGCATTGTACTATGAATTATGACTAACCACTGCCATAGATTTATTTTAATTATATGGATGACTGTAATAGTTTGTGGTTTAAATATGTATGGTACTTGCTGTATTGTTGTAGACTGAATTAAGGCAACCACTCCACAAATTCTTACTTGAAGTGTTAACCTATCCTACAAAGTAGTGCATTCAAAGACACAATAAGTCTTTGTTGATTTACCAGTGCTGCTCTTTTACTTTACTTTTAAAATTGTCTGTGTCATTTTACCACAATGTGTTCATCTGATGGACTGTAGAGACTGCTTGGTTTAAATCTGAGGGCCTTGCCTCATAGTATTATATTTAATAGTATTTCAGTTTCAAACTAAAATTACCCAATGTGAGGAGTGACAAATTTTCGGTCTTACTCTATAATTTACTCAAATTTAATTTGGGGTAATATGGCAAATAAGAAATTTGCTTCTCTGTGTACTTTTGCCGCAATCTCTTTGTGCCAAAAGTTGAATCGTACCATCAAGGAAGGTACCTAGCTGTGAGGAGCCTTTAAAACTTATTTATCCACTGGTGTTTATTATCTACTGTACAAAAAAGGGACCATAAGGAAGGGTAAAGTAATTGGTGTTAATATTATCTTGTGTTGTATGAAACATATTATTTTTGTACTTAGGTAAATTTGTGCTCTGGAAGTGAGGCTTTCATATTGTTGCCTTGCTACTAATATGGTTCTCTTCTAAGAGAGTTAATTTGAGGGTTATAGTGTGAGTTGGTTCAATTGTAGCAGCATTTATCAGATGATGGTTGGGGTTTTCTTGGGCATTGGTCCATACTGTTCCTTTTAGAGAATATTTCAAGTTAAAATTGTATTGAAATACTTTCATACTTTTATGTTTTGGTATTACAATTAACTCTCTTGCTGTGCATCGGAAACATTACTTTTCATTTGAATATCTTTTATTTCTGTGATATTTTAGTTATAGGAACAACCACAGGTTTCTATGTTTTAAGTGTAAGGAAATTGTGCATTTCTTAGCACTCAGCAGCAATTGGTGATGTTTGTGTCTTTGAGAATGAACTTGCAGCTTTGTTATGTTATTTGAGGGGTGGAATTCAGAAATTCCTAATGATTTGTGTTTCACAGGGTGCACTGAGAACTTGGATTAGAAGTTAATGTCTGTATTTCTAAAATTTTGTTGTAGATAGGTTTGATGGAATAGCTAGTTGGACTTAATTGTTGTTTGTTTTGTTTGTTTCTCCTTCTGTTGGGTTCATGAAGGTCGACATCCCTAAATGTCTTGAATTTCATCAAGATTGATTAATACTGAAGATAACATAACTTTTATGTATATGTGTCATGACAGGTTGGAAATCATTTAAGAATTTGTTCTCACATCAGTGCAGATTTGAAATTATTGTGAAGTATACTTTCTTGAACTCATGTACTGTGTTCATGCCATCGTCAGATTCAGGTTAACTAGCAATCAAACTTAATCTGTCGATCTAATACAATGTCCTTTAATAAGGAAGAAGAAAACACTATTCCTGTGATGAATAAAATCATTTTATAAGCACAACGTTTAAGATCTTCTACTTTCTGCTTTTTATTAGGGCCACTCCTCTGAAGGCCTTCCTGCGGGATTTGGCATCAACTATTAGTTGTGCTTGCCTCTTTAAAAAGCTGCGAGTTGGACATTCCTCCTCCTCATCAGTCTCTGGTATTGCTGGTGTGCCTGCTGCTGCTGAAACATCCTTCCGAGTGGATGCAGTAGCACCTCCCATTGCACCGGCTGCAGCTCCTGGTTTTGACGAGAATTGCCATAACTCTTCGGGGCATGGACCTTCCTGCAGGGGAAAAATTTACAATAAATCATTTGAAATATTGCTCAACTTCAATGTTGCATTAAATATTTACCTGAGCTGTAGGTTCTACTGCAGATATCAAAGCAGCTGTGCGGTGAGTGTGCATCTGAGAGGAAACTACACTTAGTGTGTTGTCTTGGATGTCAGTCAAGTCTTGAAGGGAATTTTCATTTGTTTGATCAAGTAGCTGCGCCACCAAGTTAATTCGAGATAGGGCGTTTTGAATTTTTGACTCCAGAATCTTGAGGAATATTTCCACTTCTTGGAGGTCTTCAGTTGCTTCAGGAACTTTGACATCATCAATAGCCTGTCCATCATTTGTAAGGTGGAATTATTTAGACATCAACTTCTTTGAGCCATCTCATTTACCAAACTTGCTTCATTGGCAAAAGTTTTCTTACCTCTATTTTCTTGGAAATTCGGTGCAAAATATCTTTTATGTTACAAAGTTGCTCTGACACTGATTTTATGTTTTCCTCAAGTTTAAGTATTTCAGTCTTCTTATTCTTTATGCTGAGTTTCACATGCTCCATTTCTTCCACATTCCTGGGAAAAATAAATTCATGAAAATGCAAGAAGCAAGAATGATATGACTTGAATTGGAATACATACACTTCTTTATCCTTAACTTCAGCAAATTTGAAGGCTTCTAGCTGAGCCATCATTACTTCTTTGCGCTTTTCTAATTTTCTTTTCTCATCCTCAGTAACTTTTCTCAAGTAAGTGAGTCGAGACTTTGTTTCCTTTTGCCCAAGAAATCGCTGAAGCACCTCTTCTGTTTCTGTCACCCCTGTGGACATTGAAAATAAGCAACAGAAACATACCAAGCTCAGTGTACAAATCTATGAATCTAGTACATGACTATGGGAAATTTTCAAGTGTACCTGTGGCTTCCTTCAGTTTTAAGAAAGCATTCTCATAGAATGTTGTTTTACGTGCACAATCATCATCTGCAACTTGACCAGAATCAGGGGTTCCCTGAGAATCTTCACGCTGCATAACTGGTCGCCCAGTTGGAAATATGCGTCTTTCCAGTTGCTCCAACGCTGATTTACGTTCCTCTACTCTCATCCTACAAACAATTCACCTACGTTAAGAATTCATTCTTCTCATGTAACGACAGTACTAAGCACAAAGTACTCACTTGAACTCCTGGAGCTGCCTTTCTCTTGCCTTACTTATACTCATTGCAGACGCTTCTTGTCTCAAAAGCATAGATTTTGTTGAATCTCGCAGCGCAAGTGCTTCATTATTTATATCCTTGAAAAGTATTATTGTATAATAATGTCATTTAATCAGAAAAAAAAAAAATCTTCACAGAGTTACTGCGGGTCTGAAAAAGCCTGTTGCAAACATGGCAAGGTGAAATGACAAACCTCCAGATGTTTGATTTCTTGATCCTGTTTCACAATCACATCCTCCATATTTCTTAAACTGCTTTCAAATTCTACACTGTCATCCAGCAGACTTGCCCTGATGCTCAAATATTTCCGTTTTACATGATCAGCTTCCATCATATTCATTTCAATTCTGTGAATGTGATTTTCCAGTGTATTCTGTAAATTGGAAGAATAATGAATTATGCTTTCTTTAAAATTTATCTCAAGACCCTAAAAACAACCAAATGAAAAAAAAGTATAGGCACATACCCTTTCCTTTTGAGCCTCAGATTTATTTTTGATTAGGCGGGATTGTTGTTTCTTTGTCAAAAGCTTCTTGTATTCATCAGCAAGTGATTTCATCTTTTCTTGATGCTACAACAAAATTTTGCAAGGTTTACCAATCAAGTGTGATCAAATGATCTCACATGACCTTATGTTATTACCTGTTTTGATCTAAAGCGTAGGAGATCTAACTTTTTCTTCAAATCTATTACTTTTAAATCCATAATTTCCACTGCATCTTCATTTTTTTTCTCCCGTAAGGCACAGGTTTCCTTGGGATTCTGACAATACTTTTTAAGGACATTGCCATCACACTACAAAAAGGTAGGAGAAAAATTACAGCAGTAGTTCAAAACTTATGGAGCACTTAGGGAATTCCTACTTACTGTGGGTGGTTGACTTAGTTTTATGCGCAGCTCCTTCACTTCTTTCTTCAACTGTCGAATTTTTTCTGCATTCCGCTTTTTTTCAGATTCACATTCTTCATAATGTGCTTTCCTCTGACCCTCTGAAAATTTACCATAAAAAAAATCAGCTTTTATTTTATTTTTTAAAGAGAAAAGGTAACTATGGACCTATAACTACACCCTACCTGATAACTGAATTTTCTTCTTCAGTTCAATAATGTTTTTATTTGTGGCATTCAAGTCGTTTTCATCGACGGGTGGTTCGTAAGGCATGGTGATATTCAGCTGGTCACTTGATCAATTATTCAAAAAACGCGTGTCACTTGCTTCTGGAGTAATTGGAGCCACCTTGAAACTAATCTATGCTTACCTAGCACTCAGTTCAGTTTGCACACAACAAACAAGTGAAAATCTTATTCCCGGGCAACAGATCGACCGGGGAAAGCCCGCGTGATACGCGAAGGGCGCATCTCATTTGAATAAGCTTCCTGGAAAACCAAGCGGCGTCATTCATTCATTCGTGGGGCCTTCAAGTTCGCCACCAGAGGCGATAGGTGCGGTACCGAGACACCCTGCACCTGCACTGTGGAGCCTATCGGTCAAGCAGCGGTGCGTTAAATCATTGAAACCTTTGTGAACGAATTTCTAGAGCGCGAACGCACTATACCCAACGGCATCCGAAGACAGCCGAAGTCGACCCGAAGCGTCCCTCGCTCCAGTCGGGAGGCGCCGAAAGCACCCCTGCAACCCCTCCCCACCCCTCTGCCTCCAGCGTGCTTTACAGCGTGCCACCGCGCGGCCGGCCTTCTTCGCGTCTTGCGCGCGGGAACACAGTCCGCGTCTCGGGCGCTTCGAACGTGTCGCAGATTGGCTTTCCGTCAAATCGAGCCGCCCAAAGCCGCCCAGCGCCGTGGAAGCAGTCTATTTGAGCGTGCTGGGCCGGCTTTCCCGGGACGGGCGTTCGCCCGGACTTGTGGCGAACTTTCCCACAGTGGGCGCGCGGAACGATACCGGCGCAGCCGTCGGCGGCGGGACTACTTGCCGGGCGCTGGAACAATGGTGGAGCGGAGGGCCCGACGGTGGCGCGCTCCGCTCGGCTCCGCTCGGCTTCGGCTCGTCAGCTTGCGTCTGACCGCGTACCCTCGCGCCTCGCGTCTCGGCCGCCCCGAGGCCTGCGTTCTTGGCTGTCGCCGCGATGGCTGCGTGAAAAAAAGTGTCAAGTTTAGAAACTCAAATGTGGTACCCATGGAGGTGCGTAAGTGAACGCGTTTGCACGAAGGAGGTGCGGAGTGAAATTGTGATTAAGTGAGTGAGAGTGTTGTGGTGTTAGTTTCAAAATTGAATGAGTGGTGTGTGTTTTGTGGAACAAGATAATGTAAAGTGCTCACCCGAAGGATACGTTACCCCCGACATGAAGCCTGTGGATTACCTTCTGGTTACAACGGCCTTGCTGCTGTGCTTATGGAATACCGTCCCCGCTGTCCAAGGTAAGTTCGCGTTCCCAGGACGCGTCCCTGTAATGTTAGCAGCCGGTGTTTGGGCCTTGAAACCGAAACGCTGCTTTGAGGTTACAACAAGTGGTCGCTGCCCGAGTCCTGCGGGACCTGCGGGTTGTCAGTCGAGCCAAACGGTTGCCAACGCGGAGGAGGTGTGTTGTTCAGCAGACGTTTCTGCAGCACAAGGGTGTCGAACGGGTTGCCGAGCCGCTCGGGCGAAACGCTAAACACCCTCTCTGGGTTGTGTCCCCGGCCCGGGCGGGGACGCCGTTTTCGCCGATTTTCAGCGCTCCGCATGTCAAAGCACGGGGTAATTTCCATTTTCGAACCGGCGCCGATCTAACGCATTGTCAGACGAGTTTTCCTGCCAGTTTTGATAAGGGGAAGGGGAGGGGGGCGGATTAAGACCGCCTTGGCGGGTGGGCCGAGCGGAGCGGACGGATCAAGGATGCACCGTAGCATGGGGTGTCAGGGGGTGCGAGAGAGACAGAGTCAACGAATGAATCGCCAATTGCCTTATCGAAGTGCTGCCGTGATAGCGGCCGATCAGGGCAAAGCAGGGCAAAGCTCTGCTGCAAGCAGTGCGGCTGAGACAGAGCACATCCGGTGTAGGCACAGCCAGCAGCCCTTCTGCTTTTTGCCCCGGCCCAGCCCACCCACGCCCCCCGGGCCGACAGGGTCTCTCTGCGCCCCACCTGTTGCGCTAGGGTTGCCACCCCCGCGGCCGGCGCGGCGCTCGGGTTGCCACCTGGGTCACGCCTGCGCGCGCGGGGCGGCTCTCGTTACGTCGGTGGGAACTTGGTGCGCGCTGCGCCGCGCTGCGCGCCGGGTGGCAACCTTACCATCACGCCGCAATTTAATTAGCCGTGGTCGGTGCGCGTCGCGACGGCGCCGCCGCTTGGCGCTGCCGACTGGCTGCCGCGTGTGAAACCGACTATTTTCTGCCTTGTTGGGCAGCGGGCTTCGCTGCGCCCCGCAACGCAGTGCAACGCACACCCGGCCCATTCCGTCGCTCTGTCTGTCTCATTTGCTCGCAGGGCGACGGAGGGCGTTTCGCAGGGGTGCGAGAGAGACAGGCCCTGCACGTCAAGGGCGGCAGCGTCTCGCGGGCGGGCCGGGCGGCGCCACAGGTGGTCTTGCATTCAAGTCGCCGGGCACACCTAGGCACTCGGCCGGAGACCTCAACGCGCGACACGCTTCCGGTCGGCGATCGAAAAGGCGGGGCGGCGCGACCGGGACTCGAACCCGCGCCTCAGCGGCCTCAGCCACACGGGTCACGTAGTCTCGGCTTTGCCTTATCGGATGGAGACTCCACTGGACACACTTGCCGTCAGCAGGACATGTCCCTCGAGGCGGCCTTGTTTATGGGCATTTCTCTGGCAGTCGAGCCGTGCATGTCGCTGGACCGAGGCGCCCCGGCAGTCGCTCTGTCTCCCTCGCACCCCTCCGGAAAGAGGCTCGGCCCGTGAGTGTGAGAGAGACAGCCCCTGCAGACGGCTGGAGTCGCTCCAGGGCGGCCTTTCGAAACAGCGGCGCAGACTGGGGTTGTCGAAAAGTCGTCAGTTGTCACCGGGCGGCGAACCCGCGCCCTGCCGCGCCGGTGGCAGTGCCGCTGGACGCTCGGCTACCGGTGGCCACGTTGCGTCATGCGGATGGCGGTCGCCGCACCTCGGCTGGCCGGTATGAAAGTGATTTAACATCTGGTTACCGATAGAGCGGCACCGCGTTGCTGCGCGCTGCTGCCCGTTGCGCCTCGCCTCGGACGTGACGGACACGTCAGGGAGCTGGCATGCGGGCTGGAGCGGCTGGAGGCTGGAGAGGGGCTGGACTGGAGCGCCGCCTGATTACACTCCAGCGTTCCAGGCTCCAGGATTCGCGGGCCTTCCAAGGACTCTGGCTGCGCAGGCTGCCGCACCTGGCGTTCGCTCCGGGATGTTTTTCTCGGGCGAGGCGATGGGTCCTGCAGGATGGTGTCCAGGATGTGTCCAGCGTGGCTGGGGCTCCATGCAAGGCTCGGCCGAGTCCGGCGCACGTCTTGTCGCTGTCTCGACGTGTCTGTTGTGCCGCTCCGAGCGGGCTGGCTGGCTCAGTGCACTGGGCAGCGCCTCGCCGCGCCTCGCGTGATACGGAATGGGTATCGTGTGAGCGAGGTACCTCGGTACCGAGGCACTGAGGCGCAGTATCGCGCCTGGAGAAACGGCCGAACGGCCGAGCCGGCAAGGGGGCGTGGGCGTGCGGGGCGGCGGGGCTAAAGGCGGGGCGCGCGGCACTCTCGGCAAGAAGACCGACTTGCGTTGCCAGATCGGCGGGGACGCTCTCGCGGCTCTCGCGTGTCGTGCTCGTGCCAAATGGCGCTCGGTGGAAGCGAGGCGAACACAACGCAGATGGCCCGTAGAAACTCAGGATGTCAGGTACAGTGTGGTGGACAAGTGACCCGTGCGCGGCCTGTGGCGTTGACGACCCCTGGCTCGAGTGACGGACCGGCTGGCTGATTCCGAGGTCCGGTCGGCTTGCCTGTCTCTCTCGCACCCATACGGGAGGGGCCTCCCTCTCGGACTCGGTCCGGTGAGGGCACTTGAGTCTCTTTGGCGGACGTCTGTCGCGGCGCGTCGCGCTGTTGACGGCCTCTGATCCCCTTTTCTTCTCTATGAGGTCCCCTTGGGCCCCCGCTCCGCCCCGCCCGTCGCGGCAATCAGCGTTGTCACAAACAGCCGGGAGAGGGGCGCGGGGCGCGACGGGCCGATCGGTGTGTTTGCATTCTCGGTTATCGCGGCCCGGCCTCTGCCTTGTTGTGCTGCAGCCTCGGCTCCAGCTTCCCCCGCCGACGCCACCACGTCAGCGTTCGCCAGCGAGAGAGGCAGACAGGCTGCGCGTAACGACTGTGCAAATTAAAAACTGTCGGTGGAAACATGCCGGTGCGGTGGCGGGGCCAGGCGGGGCTCGAACCCACGACTGCGGTCGCCGCGGTGCCGCGGTGCCCGTCCCGTCGCTGCAACGCTGCACGGCCCAACACGTGCAGCGTGCGCGGCGCGGCCAGGCGCGGCGGGAGGAGGCTGCATTGTTGTAATTTAAATGCCATCTCGTTGTCGGGCTGCACACCGCCTGCTTTATTCCGTGTGTCATTGCCTCCCCCCTCCCCACGCTCGCGCCTCTCTTTTTCCGCGCCATTGTCTGGCCGCGGATTTTAATGCAATGTTTATTAGAGTCATGTGAGAACGGCGTGTCGCCCAGTCGCTGGAGTCCGGCGATGGAGTCCGACTGGAGTCACTGCTCCAGGCCTGCAGGCCGTGCGAAAACAAGGCGGTGCTGGAGGCGCCCTGCCTGGCCTGGAGTCGCCTGGAGCACTTCCCGGTTAGGTAGGGCATTATGCCACCCCCTGTCCGTGTCTGTGTGCGTGTGTGAGTTGGTGTGTGTGCTGCTGCTCCCCCTTAGTTTGCCGCAGCGCCATGCGGCTCGACACCCTCACCATGGGCTCAAATACCAAGCTAAATTCATTTTTTTTCGCGCTTTTTTTTTTTTTTGGGCCCCGCCGCCATGCCTTACCCTGGTGGGGATTTGCCAAGTATGTATTCATCGTTCGACACACGGCGATCAACATCGCTTCGCCCCGTCTCTCTCCCTCCCTCTCCCGTTCGTTCATTCATTCATCTTTGTCCTTATGTAGTGTGTGTGTGTGTTTTTTTTGTCGGCTGGCTCCTTTTTTTCTTCTGCTGCGTGGGATGTGTGCCATTTTGCCGACGAACAAAATGTGGATCTGTTTTTTTCATAATCATGGTGGAATAATGACTGCGTGTGCTGGGCCAGGGCGGGGCGGCAGGGCTGCTGCCTGGGGCAGCGGGGAAGGGCCGCCGTGGACGAGTGAAGGGAGGGGCAGGGGAAAGGAGAGGAGGGTCCTACCGCCCCGGCCGGCCTGCGGCCCCTGCGGCCCCTGCGGCCCGCGTCCCGCGCGCGCCGCGCTTACTCACTCACACTCAAACATACATGGTGCTCATAACAGGTCGAGGAGACGGGAGCGCGACCCGCCGCCGGCCGGCCGAGCGGCCGGACGGGCTGCCTGGCTGCCTGCCCGTCTGTCTGGCTGCCTGGGCGCGGCGGACGGCCGGACCGCACTGCACGGCGAGGAGGGGGAGGCAGGCATGCCCGGCCGGTTCGTTGGGGTTCCTGTGCAGCTGTTCTCCTATGCGTTATCTCCCTCTCCTTCTCTCTCTCTCTTCCTCGGATCAGTTCCCCCGGGGCAATGGATGGATGGGTGGAGGGAGAGGGGCGAGGCGGGGCGACAAAAAAGCGAACGCGTCTGCTGTTGGAAATGAAGCAAGTTGATGCGGCGGACGGCGTGCTCCTGGAGCTCCTGGGGCTCCTGGGGGACGCGGTGCTCGCCGTCGTCACGTCGACGTGGGCGCGGGGCACTCGCCAGTCTTCGCCGGGCCGGTTATCTTGAGCACCGGCAGGAAAGGTTTATACGAAAAGCGCTGGCGGAATTCTGGTGAGAAACCCTGGTCTGGTGGAGTTTCGACTGGAAGGTGGCCCGCTCTGGCGGCGGAGCGCAGAGGGTTGCGGTGGCCATCGCCGTGCTCGTGGTGCGCGGGGAAAGGGGTCGTCGGCTTCCTGGAAGCGCGAGCGGCGCGCGGGCGGCGGCAAGGTGGCCGTCGCGTCGTCGTTGTCGTTCCCCCGCCGCGCCGCTCCGCCGTGCTCCGCCGTTCCGCGCGACGGCGTGAGTCATGAGGGTGTTTTTGGCGGCCAGGCGCGGCCTGCGCGCTGCCGGCGACCGTGTCAGTGTTTTGACTCGATGTGGATCCCCGGCTGGAAAAGGACGTGGAAAATAAAATGCAGCTTGGCGGCGCGACGGCCCTGCCTCCTGGAAACTGGAAAGGGGACTTGGGAATGCTGCTGGAGCCAAGTGTGGTGCCTGGAGCATGCTGCCAGGCGCAGGGCGGCAGGGCGCTGCCTCGCCCGCCTGGAGGCCTGCAGGCGGCTGGAGCCGTGGCTGGAGC